TTCTTTCTTTCTTTCCCTCTCTCTCTCTCTCTCTTTCTTTCTTTCTTCTTTCTTTTTCTTTCTCTCTCTCTCTTTCTCTCTCCTTCTCTCTCTCTCTCCCTCTTTCGTGGTTTTACCCTGTCACGCAGGCTGGAGTACAGTGGTGCAGTCACAGCTCACTGCAGCCTCTACCTCCCGGGCTCAAGCAATTCTCTCACCTCAGCATCCCAAGTAGCTGGGGCCACAGGTACACACTATCACACCAGACTAATTTTTTTTTTTGGCATTTTTTTGTAAAGACGAGGTTTTGTCATGTTGCCTAGGCTGGTCTTGAACTCCTGGGCTCAAGAGATCCACCACCTTGGACTCTCAAAGTGTTGGGATTATAGGCGTGAGCCACCGCACCTGGCCTTTTTTTCCTTTTTATTTTCTTTTTTGGTTGAGACAAGATGAAATGTCTGTTGTCCAGTCTGGAGAGCAGCCTCAACCTCCTGGACTCAGGTGGTCCTGCCTCGTAAGCCTAGTGAGCAGCCAGGACTACAGATGCACGCTACCATGCCTGGCTAACTTTTTGTAGAGACAAGGTCTCCCTATGTTAGCCAGGCTGATCTCATAGTCCTGGGCTCAAGTGATCCTCTGCCTTGGCCTCCCAAAGTGCTGGGATTACAGTCACGAGCCACCACACCCGGCCTGAAAATATTGCTAATCTTTGAGTTACTGCCTGTTACTCAGAAAATATAGTGTATACATAGAGAAGTCTGTATTTGAATTTTGGAAAATTTTTCAAAATTTTATTATATTTGTATGGTCGTATTTATTAAAAGGGACTCTATTTCATATACCTTAACAAAGAAAGGTGTATGAGTTCTGAGTTCTAAATTCTTAGATCAAATGTCTTTTTGAATTTAAAAAAAAAGTAATTTTCATGGTGTTCTGTTGGGAATAGCACAGTGCTGTGGATTTGTGAGAGACAGAGCAAAAGTGCTCCTGCTGGGTTAGCATCATCTGCTTCTTCCACAGTGAAAGAGAATTCTATGACGGACTCTAGTGAGATGTGACTGACTTTGGCCAACGAAGTCATTTTTTGATGGGTTTTCACCATCGCCTCCTTCCTTTCTACCTCAAGATCAGCAATGCTTCTGACAGAGGTTGCCACTGAGTTCCAGGTGTGGAGAGGAAGCTGAGCTGGCCTGACATGGACACCGACGTGAACCAGAAATCAGCTGTTTATTGTGTGGGTCATTGTGATTTTGAGGTTGTTTCTTACTGTGGTGTGGCCCAGCCTGTCCTGGCTCTTACAACAACGGATGTTTTCCCTACACTGCAGTCAGTCCTCCGGGATGCGTCCCGCCCTGAGAAGTAAGATTCATTCAGAGGATGTGGTTGTTTTCTTTCTCACTGAGGATGCATTCAAGAAGGAAGTGGGCTTTGCAAGAACTTTAGTGAAGATAAAGCCCACTCATTATCCACGAAAAATATGCAGGGCACAGGATGTGAAGTCAGACAGCCCTGAGTTTAAATCAGACCTACTGCTTATTTTCTGTGTAGCTTTAAGGGAATTATTCAATCTTTCTAAAAATCAAGTTTTCTTTCTATAAACCTGGAATAAAAACACTTATATTACAGTGTTTAATTGCACAATGATTAAATTATATACATATATGTATGAAGATATATACATATATGTATGAAGATATATACATATATGTATAGCCCTTAGCAGAGTATAACAGACCAACACTATGGGTTTATATATGGCATATATAAACCCATAGTGTT